CCTCCTTCATCTAAAATCTCTAAACTGAATTGTGGCAATGAAGACAAAATGAAAAATGGTTTCAGTTCAGTTTGTCCCAACCTTGACCGCAGGGGAGCCAAGTTCCCAGACTCCGCTGGGAGGTCAGGAATAGTCCCGGACTGATTAGGCCCATCCAGGGGGGTCGCTTCTTAGTGACCGGAGAGACAGACTTTCTCCGTGACCTTCTGCCCCCCCACCTGGACCTTCATTTCTTCGGAGTGCCCCCCCTGGTCCCCCTTTCACCCGAGGGGGAGGAAGATGGGCGAATGACCCAGCAGCCCCTGCGCTCTTCCTGATGCCCCTCAGCCGAGCAGGGAGGAGGCCAAACCCGGATCCGGCTTGTAAGGGATCCAACCTTGCTGGGCGCTGTTTTGGGAACAACAGCAGCTCCTTCCTGGTGCGGAGGCAACAATTGCTCCTTTGTGAGTCTTGACAAACCACTTTCAAGACTCCCTCCCCCCCTTCCTCCCCCCCAACTCCTGGCCCCGAGCAGAAGCCAGAGGTCCCTTCACTTCGGGGCTGCTGCCTGGACTGGGACAAGGTCGGGACTGGGGGATTCTGGGAGATGAAGTCCAGGGCAGCTGAAGGGGCCAAGGCTGAGGAAGCACCTTTGAACCCCTGACTCTGGTTCCCAGCTTGCTCCGTCCCCCCCAAACACCCAGAGGGTCGACCCCACGGCTGGTTTTTACTTGAGCCGCCACGTCACCCCCCAAGAAGCCAAGCGAAAGGGCCTCCTGGCCAAGGAACATGGGAGCTGTAGTTAGGGTTGCCAGGTGTCCACTATTTGAGTGGACAGTCCACTTTTTTCACATTATGTTCACTATTTTTTTTCACAAAATAGTGGACATTTTTTTTATTCAAAAGTTTTATGATGAAATGGTACGTAATCTAAAGCTGTACAGTCTACTTTTTTTACTACTTAACCCCCCCCCCCCCCCGCTTGTCTGCTATTTTTTGGAAGCAGACCTGGCAACCCTAGCTGTAGTGCAGGGCAAGTAGTGGTGAATGCCTGATTCTGCTCAGTTGCAAAGCAGAGATGGGGAAGGAGGTTGCAGGTTGAGGGAGGCAAGTATCCCCCCGGCTCTGGGTCTTTGATGTGGGGCTGGGGGCTTTTCCCCCTGGCCCTCGCCAGATCAAATATGCCTCCTTTGCTGACATGGGCAGAAAACGGTTCAAGCTGTGCCATCCAGGGGCAAAATGCAGGCGGAGATTTTTCCAAACTGGGGGGGGGGCAAGACTGAAGCATGGCAGGTAGCAGCCCCATCAGTCCTCCAAGCCCCCCTCCTGTCCCCCCTCCTCCTCTCCAGAAACTCACTCTCTTCTAGCACTGATGATGTTCTCTACTTGGGTCAGGAAACGTCTGCAACGAAAAACCCAGCTCAGGGATCTGTTCATTCCGGCAGGTTCTGAAGGAAAGTTAGAAAAACCTCACTCAGAAAAAGGGAAAGTCAGCCTGTCATCAGCAGCCCCCAGACCCAGAGGAGGTGGGGGGGTCTCCTTGTCTGGATGCCCTCAAGGGGTGGGGGCTAATCAGCCACGTATTTGGAGTGCTTTCCTTTGGATTGCTGCACTGAGCAGGGGCTGGGCTGGATGACCTCAGGGAACATTTCAAACTGTAGGATTCCCTCCGTGACATCCGTCCTGACAGAGAGTGAATCCGTCAACTTCTTTTGTGCAAACACAACTACTTCCTGATCGGTAGCCACGAAAATCCATTCTCACACAGAGCCTTTTCTCCCACCGTCCCCCCCCACAGAAATTCTTCCCCCCCCCTTTCCTTGCCTATAAATGCCTCCCTTCCCCTCCCAGGAGGAAAGCCTGGAGTTTCCTCTGAGCAGACTTGCTACCTGTGGAGGCCGAGGAACAGGTGAGTGCGGCTCTCCCACCTGTGGGCACCTGACAGGTGAGGCTCCCTGCATTACATCTCTCCTGCCCCTCTCTCTGTCTGTCTCTCTGTCCTTTACAGAGCAATGCAGGATTCACTTTGACCCCCCCCCAAGGCTGCTGCATGACCGCAGGTTGGACTTCACCCCCTCTCACCCCCCTTTCCTCTCTCTCCCCCCAGTTCTCTCTGCAGGGAAGGAAAGAAGACCATGGGGCGATTCATCTTCGTGAGCTTCGGCTTGCTGGTCGTGTTCGTCTCCCTGAGTGGTGAGTTCGAGCAGGGTCCCTCGTGTCCGGAGAAGCCAACGCTCTCCCACCTCCAACCCCTTCCTGATTTGACCCCCCCCCAGAATCCTCTCCCCAAAGTTGCTTTTATTCCCGCTTGGCTCCTTCTGCCATTCAGATCCCACCTTCTCTCTCTGCCCCAGGACTCAGGACTGTGTGCAAGGATACAAAACCCAAGAAAAATTAACCCCACTGAAATGCAGAATTAATTATAAGTTAAACTCTTGGAGAAAATGCATACATTGATGAATTAAAAGTAGAGTGCCCCTCCCCCCCTCTTGCTAGGGATTTCTCTCCATGGGAGCCACACAAGGGGTGAGACCCTTCCCCATCTGCTGAAGAGCTCAGCCCCTGCTGGGGGCATCTTCAGACAGGTCCTTCTTGGGCAGGGGGGGGCAGGGGGGCAGCCCCACAGATAATCTGCCACTAAAGCCCTGTAGTTGTTTAGGACACCCAGGAGAGAGGAGATCCCTTAGGACAGACCCACCGGATCCTCCTTCCTTTGCACCGGTCAACAGCCTGGCTGCTTCCTT